AGAGAGAGAGAGAGAGAGAGAGAGAAAGAGAGAGAGAAAGAGAGAGAGAGAAAGAGAGAGAGAAAGAGAGAGAGAAGGGGAGACCACGAGCCACCATTATGGATGTTTCATCGCATCGTCACTTCGTAAACCTGTTGAATAAATTCCGTGCTGGCGCCCCTCTTCCTGGCCCGTGGTAAGCGAAGCGAGTTTACTCGTTAGATGTCAAATCGACGACTTAGTCGAAACCGCCTTCGACGACGACGACGTCGTCGTCGTCGTCGCCGTCGACTCCGTGAGAGGTATATCCGGAACGCGAGTTCTTTTCGAGTACATAAATACGCATCAATTACGGATTGTTTCAAGAAACATATGTAGCGCACGATCACCTACGCTATAAAGTTGTGTGCGCTCGACAGGAGAGCGTAGATTTTCTGAGTCACTTGTCAAGTTTATTTTGGTTCTCGAGAAAATTTTTGATGCGTGAAAATTCGAGAAAAAAACGATTTATACGAATAATTAATTAAAAGATTGCAATAAATTACTTAATAACAAATAATCATAGTGTTGAGTCTCATTAATGACACGAGTGTCATTGTCATATGTGAATAAATCTCCTTTTAGCAATTGACTGTACTTATATAGGAATGATCCAACTCACATAAAGTATGTTTCGAGACAAATGAACATAAAAATTCGATATATAGTTTAAGAAGCTTAGATAGCATTGAGATTCTTTGTAATATTGAAAAAGTCAAGTATGATCAATCTGCTCTTAAGTGTACTCATTAACAAGCTTTTAAAAAATAGATAAAAAATATACAATTAGTAAAAACTGACACAACTAGTAAAAAATAAGATCTATTTCTTAATTAATTTTAGGCACCTATAAGGCTTGGGTCTTTTTTGTTTTAGTAATTCTTGGAAAGCGATTTGTACACATACATCCATAGAAATATGCTTGCTGTTAGTCTACGCAATTCTTATTCGAAACATTTTTTTATAAAATTAGTGTTTAAATGAAGTTATGTGACTATGTAAGTTTGTGTGTGTGTATTATGCACTAGCTATAGTGTATGTGAACAATCCAGCTCCAATAAATTTTGCATTGATATCTCATGTAACAAAAACTCAAATATCATAATTTTATGGGTTGGATTGCATAACTATATGACCAATATTATTAATTTTAGAAATATTTGACTCACTATACTTGAAGACTTCAAAGATTGTCCACTCGATTCACTTGATTGTCACTGAAATTTATAATTACAATAATTAATTTCACTTTATATAAACGTATGAGATGCTCATGTAAATTTTATTGAAGTTGGATTGATCACATAACTTCATACATATATTGATATCAGAGAATGTTTCGAATAAAAATTGTACAGTTTGACAACATGCATGCATCTGTGAGTATATGAGTACAAATTTCCTTTCAATAATTACTATTAAAAGTATTCGACTTACTGTGTTCAAAGATCCCAAAGATTGTTCATTTAAATTCTTGATTTACTTGATCGTTCCTGAAATTGATAATTAACACAGATAATTATTACAGCAATTAATATTTAGACACATGAGATATCAATGCAAAATTTATTGGAGCTGGATTGTTCACATACACTATAGCTAGTGCATAATACACACACACAAACTTACATAGTCACATAACTTCATATAAACACTAATTTTATAAAAAGATGTTTCGAATAAGAATTGCGTAGACCAGCAAGCATATATCTATGGATGTATGTGTACAAATCGCTTTCCAATAATTACTATTAAAAGTATTCAACTTACAGTGTGTGCTCTCTCTCAAAGATCTTAAAAATTACCCACTTAAATCTCTGTTTGGTCATCCCTGAAATTGATATTTACAATAATTAATATTCGCTTTACATCAAATAATCTACAGTTTATAGCCAAAACTATTTGTACAAGATTCTTACACAGATATTTCAGTTCTTCGTATTTTAGATTCCATGATATGCCACGTCGAAGTTACTCTGGAATAATATAGAATGTCTGAGAAAATGTACAGTTTATCTGCCATGATTGACGTTTTATAACGGTAGCGCGATGTGTTGTTCAGCACTCCTAATTTCCGCGTAACTTATCTAATTCGTGTTTAACAAGTATTGATTTTTCTGATAATAATTAGTTTCAAGCGTCGTTGTCTGTTGATCTTTACCTCTTTCAAAGGTGTAGATGTTCCAAGATGTGTAGGAAGTAACAGAAGAGTAATACGCGCGATCCACTTCGTAGAACTGCTGAACGCAAAAAGGATGCTATGCAACTTTACTTTGATCTCGACTGATATCTTTAACACACGAAATAATAATTGGCGTGCGGTAGATAATAACATGGCGACCAATCAACGTGTCGTATTCCCGCAAAATAAAAGATTATTGGCTACCGCGCAGAAAGTACTAGCTTTTTACTAATAAAGTAGTAAAAGTATAAATGCAGAAGTACAGAAAGTACAGTGAAAAGGAATTGATCTCAGGTGTAGCGGTGTTATAACGATTACGAAAAAGAAAACAGATATCTCGTACATTACGCGTAGTATAGTAGATTGTAACGATCAGCACGGTGGACGGTTTATTACTCATACTCGATTGTCTTACCTTCACGCACGCGATGCACTTTTCGACGAGCGGAACGCTAGCACAGATAATTGACGCGGATTTCGCTTGGAAGCCATACGATGTAAACAGTAAGAACGGCGAGACGAAAGGCCGGTAGAAGATACGTCTATGGTGTTACGACTTTGATCCAGTATGCTCGAAGGTTACGTCTAGCTGCGAGCGCAAATCCGACACCACTGTGTTACGCCTCGCTCGCCGTATCGGATTGGACAAGCCGGGAGCGAGTGAGATAGCATGCCTCGCGCGTCGCGCGCTATCCTTGTCTAAAGTGCCTAGATCGCGCGACCCAATCAGTGCGTAGAACAGTAGCAGTGACGAAACATCGCGAGGTTGACGGCTTGACACGCGGAGCTCGCTTATTTTCTACATCTTATCGCTGTCCGTGTGCATTACGTATTTAACATTATGGTACAAGGTGCGTGACGGTAATTAGAATAAGGTTGCATTCCAAAACATTTTTTTTCGAGGAAAATTGTACTCTTAAATCTATAATTCACGTTACATACATTATAGATTTAAGAATAAAATTTTCCTCGGAAACGACGTTTTGGAATGCAACCCAAGAGTACTTACACACAGAAATACATACAGATCGCGGATTGTATAGACGTGTGTACATGTTCGGTGTAGCGTTGATTCAGTTAGGAAATGTGAAATAAGACAATGATTGCTGACGCGTGAATGATAAGAATGATGAGATGGAAAGTCAGACGGTTAATCGATAGAAAATATATCTTTTAACTTTACCGTGTTCTGAGGTCAAGTTAGGGTTAACCAAAAAGAGCGGTAAATCTGACATTTGTTCGTATCGCTTTCACTTTTCACACTTTTATACCTAATGTTCGTTGCAATGAGAGCTCTTCTTTATAAAAAGTGGTGCTAGGGTGCAATGGACGTTAAGTATAAAAAGGCTTGTTCTTTGTAGCTGCATTGCTGAACTGGTGCAATATATTGAAGTGAGACAAATATACGTTTTCTCACTCTAACTTATTGCACTAGTTCAGCAGTGCAGCTATAAAGAACAGACCTAATGAATCAAAAGTGCAAGCAACGCGAACAAACCTAGTTACGCTTCTCACGGCGCGCCGGGGTTGGTCGAATCGGTATAACGCGAAGTTGTATGAAATTCCTCGTGAACTTTTGTCGCCGAAACTGAGTATATATTGTGTGGGCGAGTCGGATATAGTCGTGCCGGGAGCAAAACCGTTGCGCATTCGACGTCCTGCGGGAAGCAGCGTGATTTGTATGTATTTAACTGCGATTCGTGTATCCTGAGTGCTCGATACGTTTAATCGGAGCGTTGGATATTGCACACGTAATACTGGTACATAAGGTATGTGGACATAATTAGGATTTCTTGAGAAAATATTCGCGCGTATCACATGTATGTGACATACACACGTAGGAATGCCGAAACGCGCACCGATATGCTCAGGCGTTTTCTCGTTATTCGATGCGGAGTAAACAAGTGCGTGTAAATACGTGATGCTTAAATGGTAACGATAACAAAGGGGGAGAGGGGAGGGCGTCGATTGAAAGACGCGTCTACGGCGTTTTGACTTTGGATCAGTGCGTCGAAGGTCGCAAGCTTCGTTACGGCGAGTCTATGTCCGCCATTATCGTCATTTCTCTGTGCGCGTATGCGAATTCGACCGTGTCGTTGATTTTTCTGGAAAGTGAATGCCAGTTTTGAAAACCGAATGTCCCGCGGTTGCGTAGTGTATCGCTAAGCGTTGTAATTGACGACCGTAATCGTAATTAACCGCGTTCGCGTTCTATCGTAATGTTATAGTGAATATTCTGAAGGAGAGTGCAGGAGATGGAGAAACAAACCAAAAGGCGCCAAGGCAGCGGCAGCGAATTACGATTAGTAAGTAAATTTATTTGAGATTGTACTGTAATGTATGCTCGTGTAAAAACGCGTGTATTACAAATATACTTCGATTGAGAATAACAGAGTAAAAATTACGATAACAGACAAATATTTGTGAGAGAAGATTTAATGAAAATAAGAATATTTTATTATTACCGATGAATAATATAGATCTTACAATTTTCACGAATTTAATACGATGCAATATTTCATTGTATGAAATAATAAACACGTAAAATTATTTGTTTTACAGAATTGTCCGGTAAGTTGTTTCAACGCGTTATACATGTCTGCATCTTCAGATGCGGTAAGTTTTTGTTAACATTACCATGTGATTGTTATCATTTGTTATCATTATTGTTTATTACGTGAGACTACAACAGACTTAAAAGATATTGAACTCATTATCTATTTCTTCTATTTTTTTAAAAACGACATCCAAGAGTAAAATTTTCTACGGATTCTTTGAGGAATTTAAAATTTTTACTTCTTTTCAAAATTTAATCCTCTACTGTGACTCTGAAGTCACGATCGAGTTTCATCATTATTTATTTCCAATATGAATGTTGTTTCTGTCTTGTGATGTGAAATCACAATATAGTTGTCTTTTTTAGTATATTGGCAGCAATAGTAAGTTAATATTTATATCACTTATTTTAGGAAAATAAAAAATTAGAAAAATAAAATTTTACCTTATACGTGTTGAGTACTTTAGTTTTAAACATCCTATATATAAAACAATTTTTAAACGTAAATTTGAGTAGTAGAGGATTAATTGTACATTATATCGGAATTTTTCAAATTTATTAGTAGCTAGATATCATTCAGGGTTGGGAAATATCTCGTTATTTGTAACAAAGTTACAGTTATATTTTTTCAGTAACTGTAACTTAACTTAGTTACTTATTTTTAGTAACTTGTGACTTTTTTAACAGTTACTTTAGTAGTTACTTGGAGAACGTAAAATAAAATTAAAATTATATAGTAATCGTATATTAATTTAATAACTTAAATAGCACAGAGGATTAAAAAAGAATTAAAAGAGAATTCAGTCGTGTGTCATCAATTCTGAGTTTATTTTCAGATGCAAAAAGAATTTTTCAGAGTTTAGTTCAGAAAAGAATTCTTTTTGCATTTAAAAATGAACACAGAACTAGTGATATACGACTGAATTCTCTTTAAATTCTCTGTTTGGAAAACTTATCAATGTATTTACAAAGCGTGTGATTAAATTCTTTTACCTCTACAAGGTTATCATTAAATTTTTGTTATATTAAGTACAGATTTGGAATTTGTTAAGTGGATTGACTAATTAATGTGATAGATATTAATTATAACATTCAATTCTTACATTTTAGTAAAGCTTAAAATGTAAGATTTTTGTATTTATAATAATAATTTACAGTCATTTCAAGAAAGTAACTTAAAAGTAAACGACTCGTTACTTTTTGAGTAACTGTAATGAATTACTTTTCATAGCCAGTAACTTGTAACTGTAACTAGTTACATTTTCAGCAAAGGGAACTGTAACTGTAACTAGTTACTTTTAAGAAGTAACTTCTCAACCCTGATATCATTATACGACACTTTTATTTGATTCGCTCAAAACTTACCAGCTTGATTAAGAGTTCATTATCTATTTACGTTTGGGAGACGTAATGCTGTAGAATTCTCTGAATATGGAATATTTATCACTTGGAAGCTACATGCTTCATATACAATATGTATAGAACGCGAAGAGTGACATAGTAAGCTCGTGAGGCAGTATCGTTTCTTGAAAATACCGGTGTCTAGAATGGCACTCGGATCGACTTAAGAGCCTCGTGAAACTTGATCCCGCCTCTTCCTTTATTTCTTACATTCGAGATTGTCCTTTCTACACAAAATGCGTCACGATCAAATTCACGGAAGAATCTCAAGGGAGATAGGTTTATCGAGACTTCGAGGAATGTTAACGGTTGGCGTGTATAAAGCAAGTGTTGCTAGCCATTAATTATATTAATGAAATTCATGTTCTCGCGTTTTTCCGAAGCGCGGAAAACGCCTAAATTGCACAGTACGTAAACAAATGTTCCAAAAAGTCCACTCTAAATTTTGTGTCGAAAATAACTCATTCATATGTTTATTTATGTGTTATTTATGTACTAGTCTATACATAATGTAAATATATAATAGTGACTAGTGCATAATGTAAATAACACACGAATGAACATATGAAAGAGTTATTTTCGACACAAAATTTGGAGTAGACTTTTTGGAACATTTGTATATGTACTGTGTACGCAAGATTTTTTACTGTGTGCTTGTCTCTTTTTCGAGGTCTGCGTTTATGAAATGGCAATTGTGTACGACCGTCACGATCTCAGAAATGTGCAATGTCTAGTTCACTCTGCAACATGAGAGTTCGCGAAGTCATTCTCTTCTCTGATCGCGTTGCTCACAGAAACGGCGATATTTATCGTGTATTTTAAGACGCGTTGCATGTCGCGGCCGGCGCTATCTCTACACAAATTACGCGAACGCGCACGACCCACATCGGTGAATTATGTATCATTGGATACGCCATAAATCGCGACGCGTTTACGGAAAACGTTAATCAACGCGACAATGCCCGGCCGGGAACACGGGAACCGCAAAAAGGGTTTCGAAACAAGGCGCCGAAGAAAAACGTCGAGCGCTCAATGCCCGAGTGGAAGAATGGCAAGACGCCGACATCTACATATACGTACAATGTACAGACCCGGGGCCCTTTGAAAGCACCCGTACGAGCCGGTCGGATGACAGGGAAGAAATCGAAATATGCGATGACTGTGCAGATGAAATATCCGTGTCTCTTAATGGCGACCTCGGGCCGTCTCTCGGGTGTGTAGCAGAGTAAAGGAGGTGGCGAGCCTCCCTCTCGGAGTGCAGGCGGATGTAGGTGAAACCGCGCACACCTACATCCATACTCATTACGTCAAGTTGCAGAATGTACAATTCAGGGGGGTCAAAACTAATTGGGATTTTCATTCTTTTCTCGGTTATATCAAATTAAAAAAGTCAGATTTGTGTGTGCGCGCGTGCGTAAGAGCGTTAGGCGGATGATTGGAGAGAGAAAAGAGATCGAACTTTTAAGAAACGAATTTCAATCGTTCATTTTCTCAGCGGCTCCCTTTTCCTCTCGGCATTTTTCAGTAAAATTCGCGCGTTTTGGGCAAAAAACAGTGGTCGCTTTCTCATAGACTTGTGAAAATAAGCAACGAATGCAAACTCTCCCGGCGTTCACAAGTCCTCCGTGAAATGAGTTGGACCG